CACACACACACACACACACAGTATTGGGATTTGAACTTAGGTAGACACTCTACCAATTGAGCCATGCCCCAGCCCTAGATTAATACATACTTTGATGCTATTATTTCTCATGTTTACTTGCCATTTTCTTCCATTCCCTTGCTCTCTTTTATGGTTACATACAGATGTTACCAATGTAATGTATTATATCCTCATAGTCTCTTCTATTTTCCTCTATGTGGTCATTTGATTCAGGTCTCTGTTCCCAAGGGCCATCAATCGCTGGAGGACAGACATCTGGTCTCTTTTGATCCCAACTGCTCCCCAATGCCCAGGCTGGGCAAGTCCACTATGGAGGCTCAAAGTAAAGATCACAGAGTGGCTTGGACTTTTGTGAACTGGGTTTTTTTGCTGACTTGGTACAGATAAGAAACTGAGCTCAGAAAATGTTTAATATATGAGTAAACACTTCAGGTGGGGCCGAAACTCAGAAGTCTGTCTGCCCTGAACCTCATACTTAGTTCCCACACTAGCACCTCAGCGGATGGAGCAAGTAACATTTTTACCTTCTTGTGTTGTGGTTTTTAAAAAATGGTTGCATGAGTGCGAATGAATGTCTTCAACCTGTCTGGAATGTTCTGTGACAAATGCTAAGTAAAGATCTCCTATTTGTCTACCATTACTATTCATTTCCAAGATTAACATAGTGATAATGATTTCTTTCAACATTTGATTTTTCTCTTGGGACATCTGCTTGAAGCATAAAGTTTAGTCAATTGCCAAGTATGTTCTATAGACTTGTAGATATTTTCTTTCATTTTGCCTTAAGGGAATTTCTCTAAAAGTTTTTTCCCCTCTATTTAATTGTTCTTATTATATTATAAACTTTTTTTTAACTGTTTTTTTTTATTGTGAAAATACCATACAGAGGGATTACAATTACATGGGCAAGGTAATGAGTACATTTCTTATCAAGCATTGTTGCCTATATTATAAATTTTAATACAATTTGTATTTTAATGAGTTATGCTTTATTTTCATTTAAAGTCATCACGGGGGGGGCAGGGGGGGCTGGGAAGGTGGCTCAGTGGTAGAGCGCTTGCCTTGCATGCATGAGGCCCTAGATTCAATTCCTCAGCACCACATAAGCAGAAAACGCTGGAAGTGAGGCTGAGGCTCAAGTTGGTCTACAGCTGAAGAGCTTAGGGACAGCACCCAGGCCCAGAGTTCTGGCTCCACGACCAATAAAAAAAGAAAAAAAGGAAAAAAAAGAAATAAAGTCATCACGGATTTTTAATTTTATTGCACGATGGGCAGAGCATGCAGCTTAGGATATGTGTGGGATTTTAAACTTCTTTGTGTGCCAGCCAATACTGGGGCGTGAACTCAGATCCTCTTACTCTCACTTTTTCCTTCAAGGCTGCTCCACCACTCGAGCTTCACTTCTGGCCTTTTGGTGGTTAATTGAAGGTAAGAGTTTCATGGATGCTCCTGTCTAGGCTGGCTTTGAACTGTCACTCTCAGATCTCAGCCATCTTAGTAGCTAGGATTGTAGTTATGAGCTACTGGTCTCTGGCTTGTTTCTTTCTTCTTAAGACAATATTGTCTTAAAATACCGTAGAGAGGGGTTGCAATTACATGGGCAAGGTAATGAGTACATTTCTTTTCTTTCTTTTTTTTTTGGTGGGGGGGGGTCCGGTCATGGGGCCTGGGCACTGTCCCTCAGCTCTTCAGCTCAAAGCTAATGTTCTACCACTTGAGCCACAGCGCCACTTCCGGCTTTTTTCTTTTTGCTTATTTGGTGCTGAGAAATCGAATGCAGGGCCTCAGGCATGCAAGGCAAGTGCTCTACCACTGAGCCACCTTCCCAGCCCAAATGAGTACATTTCTTATCAAGCACTGTTGCCTCCTCCTTTGTTTCCCCTTCCCATCTCTTCCCATCTCCCCTGCCACCCCCCCACCCCCCGACAATATTTTCTTGGTTACCAATAAGCTTGAACATTTCCTCATAAAGTCACTGGCCATTTGCAAATCTTGATCAATGACAGCTTCATATCCCTCACTGGTTTTCCATAGAGTATCATTTTCTTTCCTAATTGATTTGTGAGAGTTATTCATATATGAATAACATTTGTCCCTTTGTTCCCCACCCTTTCTTTTGTTTTGACTTTTAAAATTTCATCTTCCTCCCTTCCTTCCTTCCTTCCTTCCTTCCTTCCTTCCTTCCTTCCTTCCTTCCTTCCTTCCTTTCTCTCTCCCTCCCTCCCTCCCTCTCTCTCTCTTTCTTTCTTTCCTTCTTTTATTGGTGATACTAGGGATTGAACTCAGGGCTTTGAGTTATACCTCCAGTCCAGTTCTACACTATTTTTGGATAGAGTTTCACTTTTTAAAATATATTTTTAATTGCAAGGATACTGTACAGATGGGTTACAGTTACATGAACAAGGTAATGAGTCCATTTCCTATCAAGCATTGTTACCCCATCCTTTATTTTTCCCCTACCATCCCTTTCCTCCTTACCTCTCCACCTCCTCCCTCCCTTGCAAAGTTGTAAAGTTCATTTTCAACATATTGTCTTGTACATCTTGTTGTTACAATGGGTCATCCTCTATCCTTATTTCAGCATTTTGTCATTTCCCTTCCCCTCTCCCCCAAAATGTATAGACAAGAACACTGGAATCAAATGCAGTGACAACAGGGATTATACCATGGGGGAAGAACATACAAAGAAACAAAAAAAGTCACATAGTACATAATAAGTACATTAAAAAAAATCAAGGAAGATAAAATCTCTGTGTCCATATCGTTGAGCTCATTTCACTTAGCGTCAGCTTATATGCTCATCCCTTGAGTCATACCTCCAGTCCATTTCTACACAATTTGGGGGTAGAGTTTCACTTTATGTTCATGCAGGCCTAGACTTCTGTTCCCCTACTTGTGCTTTCTGGTAGTTGAGAATGACAGGCATGCCACTGTACCCAGCCATTTTGCTTCCCCAGAGGCTGGGATCACTGGTGAGTACTACTGCGCCCAGCCATTAAGTAAGAGAGAGTCTCATGAACTTTTATGTCAGCCTGGCTTTGAACAGAGAGTCTCTGATTTCAGCCTCTCAAGTAGCTATTGTGACGGGCTTGAGCCACTGTACCTATTTTTTAATGTTGCCAAATCCATGTCTTCTAGCTGACATTTTTAGAAGGGCCCTACTCCCTTACCTCCCAAGATTAAATAAACACCTATCCATTTTTCTAGTACTTTTTTTTTTATTGTTTGTACATGTTGGTATATGTATACTTTGCTTCTTCTAATCCATCTGGAATTTATTAAGGTGTGAGGAAGGAATACAGTTTTATTTTTTATTAAGGAAAAATTTAAAGCAGATGTTCCTATCACTACTACAATCATTAAAAAAAATCTAAATAAAGTGTTCTAGACAACATTATTTCCTGGTAAAAATCTCCAGGCTAAAGTAATTTACAAAATATCCTCTCAGACCCAGGAATTGAGTGTTCCTTAATTCCTTTATCTAGTTATTTAACTCAAGAAAGATTTGTCCAGAAAAAGAGAATGGGTTTTTGACATTATTGAGTTTTAGTCATCTTTTCCTGGCAGTACTTAGTGGCCTTAGCTATTTGCTGAGTCCTTACAGCTCACGGTGGCAAATCCATGTCACAAGAGCTGGTTTAACTTTTCACTAAAATGCAGCGTGTGTGTGTGTGTGTGTGTGTGTGTGTGTGTGTGTGTATGTGTGTGCGCCCGCGTGCACGAGCACTGGTACTAGGGCTTTAACCCCAGGCCTGGATGCTATCTCTTAGTATTTTTGCTGGTTTGCTACTATTTGAGCCACAGTTCCATTTCCGGCTTTTTGGGTGTTAAAAATTGCCCATAAGCCTTATGAACTTTTTTCTTCCTGGTCAGTCTTTGAACCTTGATCTTCAAATCTCAGTCTTGTGAGTAACTAGGATTACAGGCAGGAGCCATCAACATCCATCTTTTAACAGTGTTTTTAAATATAATTCTTTTTTTTTTTTGCTTATGTGGTGCTGAGGAATCGAACCCAGGGCCTCATGCATGCAAGGCAAGCACTCTACCACTGAGCCACCTTCCCAGCCCCTGAAATATAATTCTTTTTTTTTGGGTCCAGTTGTGGGGCCTGAACTCTGGGCCTGGGTGCTGTCCCTGAGCTCTTCAGCTTAAGGCTAGCACCCTACCACCTGAGCCAAGCGCCACTTCCAGCTTTTTTCATTTTGGCTTATGTGGTGCTGAGAAATCGAACCCCGGGCCTCAGGCATGCAAGGCAAGCGCTCTACCACTGAGCCACCTTCCCAGCCCCTGAAATATAATTCTTTTGTCATATAAGTCACCCCATTAAATGCAGGATTCAATGATGTTTAGTTTATTTAGAGTTGTGATATGGTTGTCATACTCAACTTTAGAACATTTTCATCACTCTGAAAAGAAATCTGAACTCTTAAGTATCAGCCCCAATCCCTCCCCATCCCTACACCACATCAATATTCTTTCTCTGCTTGCCGATTTGCCTATTTTGGACATTTCACATAAACAGAATCATACAATAGATGGCCTTTTGTGACTGACATTTTTTCACTTAGTCTAATGTTTGCAAGATTCATCCATGCTGATGTAAATATCTGTACTTCTTTTCTTTTTATTACTAAATAACATTCCCTGATATGGAATGCCGCCTTTTGTTTATGTTTATTAGTTGTTGAACAGAGGTTTGCTCCTACTTGCTTTTTGCTATTATGAATAATGCTGCTTTGACTTTTTTTTTTCTAGTCGGTCTTGGGGCTTGAACTCTAGGCCTGGGTGCTGTCTCAAGGCAGGCACTCTACCACTTGAGCCACAGTCGCCACTTCTGGTGGCTAATGGGAGATTAAGAGTCTCACGGACTTTCCTGCCCAAGCTGGCTTTGAACCGTGATCTTCAGATCTCAGCCTCCTGAGTAGCTAGGATTACAGGTGTGAGTCACTGGCACCTGACTTTGACTTTTTTGTTGTTGTTGTTGATACTAAGGTTTGAACTCAGGACCTCATGCTTGCTAGGCAGGAGCTCTACCATTTGAGCCACACCTCCAACCCAAGTAATGCTGCTATGAACATTTTTGTGTTGTCATGTGTTTCCATTTTTTTGAGCATATAATTAGAGACAGAACCGATAGCCATATGAATCCATGGTTAAATTTTTTGGAAATGGCCTGTTCACATATTGGCTACACCATACATTCTGCCAACAGTGAATGAGGTTTCTGATTTCTCTGTGCCATTGCTAACAATTGTTATTATATGTCTCCTTTATTATGGAAAGAGGAAGAAAAGAAAGAAGGCATAGAGAAGGAGGAGGAGGACAAGGTGGGGGCAGAGGAGAAGGGGAGTGGGGAGGAAGAAGAAGATGATTCCTAAAACCTTCTCTGAAAGGTTCCACAAGCTCCCTAGAACACCAAAGTAGAGGCCAAACCTTGTGGGGTGGGGAGACACTTGCGATCCTAAGTGTTATTCATGGCAAGACAGGAAGCTAGGGAGGGAGGAGCCCATCCTGATCTTTTATGACAACTTTCTCTTGTGAACTCACAAGAGGGCCCATAAGAATGACTTAAGTCCCTTCTGAGGGGAGCTCCCCAATCACCTAATGACTTCCACCAGGCTCTGCCTCTTCAGAGTTCTTAGCATCTTCACACTGGAACCAAGCTTCCAGCACATGAACCCTTGGGGGGATAGACCACGTCCCAATCATAGCATCCATTGAGAGATGTCTTAACCCATATACCAGTGGAGAGTAGACTGTGGGGAAAATAAGTAATAAATTGGATACTCATTGACTGGTTACTAGAGCTATTTTTCATCCTTATTTTTATAGAGGAAACTGAGGCATATTGCAGTTGAGAAAGTTGCCCCAGGACACAGAGCTAGGCATGGCAGAACTTGGATTCAAACCCAGAAAGTTCATACTCATTAATAAACATATTGTGTCTTAGGGTTTGGGAAGGTTGGCCAAGGTGTTTCCAATATTGCCATATTTATTAAAGCCACCTGGCAAACTCAACCTTCTCCTGCCTCCAAGGATCCTCTAAAATGTGCTGAAACCCACATCATGGTCACCTGATGGCCCAAATTAGGTTTTCTCCCAAGACAGAGAAAACAGTAATGAAGCAGAGCAGAGATTGTCTCAGAGGCCACCTTTTGTCTATCACCAGGGCTTGCTTGCCTGCTTGCTGAGTCTGCCTGAGAGCCATTAAGGGCAAATCTATATTCAGATGGAAGCACATTTAATTTACAGACCATCTGTCTATAACAGGTGAGGGGAAGGCTATCTCCCTTGAGGTATGCCTAGAAGAGTTTTAAAATGTGTTCATAGGCAAACGTTCTTAATAGGATTTAAACGTAGCTCGTCCATTTTGGGCTTCAAACTGATCTCCAGGGAGATGTGTTTTGGAGAGTGGGGTGTGGAGCAGGAAAAGGAGGAGAAAAGATCACCCTCAAGTTGGCAGGAAAGGAGATGTGCCACCACCAATCAGAAAGCAGAATGTGTGGTCAGGAGACATGGCTCAAATGGAAGAGCTCTTGTCTAACAAAGGTAAGGCCCTGAGTGTGAACCCCAGTACCTCGCAAAGAAAATAACAAGAAAAAATAAAAGCTGCAGGAGCTCACTGGAATTGTGCTACTACCCTATAACCAACTTTAGGACTCTTTTTTTTTTGGGTCCGGTCATGGTGCCTGAACTCTGGGCCTGGGCGCTGTCCTTCAGCTCTTCCACTCAAGGCTAGCGCTCTACCACTTGAGCCACAGCACCACTTCCGGCTTTTTTTTTCTTTTGCTTATGTGGTGCTGAGGAATCGAACCCAGGGCCTCAGGCATGCAAGGCAAGCGCTCTACCACTGAGCCACCTTCCCAGCCCTTTTAGGACTCTTTTTATCACCCGCCAGGAGGAAAACATGCATTGTGGAGAAACAGTCCCACAGTCCACTCTTTCTTCAATACCACCTGTTATGTCTGAACCAGAGACTCAGCAATCATTCATTATGAGTAAGCAACCTGCTTTCTGAACGGCTTTAGCATAAGATTATAAGCGTATTAAAACTTTACACTGTAAACCTTTCTAAAATTGCTGTGTGTGTGTGTGTGTGTGTGTGAGAGAGAGAGAGAGAGAGAGAGAGAGAGAGAGAGAGAGAGAGAAGGAGGGAGGGAGGGAGAGAGAGAAAATGTGTACTGGGGTTTGCACTGAGTGCTGCTTGCTCTTGCTTAACTTTTTTTGCTCAAGGCTGGTGCACTACCCTTTAAGCCACACCTCCAATTTGGGCTTTTGGCTGGTTAGTTGGAATCCTCAGATTTCAGCCTCTTGAGTAGCTAGTATTACACATGTGAGCTGCTGATGCCCAGGCTGATTTTGGTTTAAGATGAAACATGCAGGTACTTTTTTTTCAAGTGGGGGATCAGTTACACTAATACCACTTAGTGAATGTTGTAGTGCACTGAAGTTTTCTTAAACATTTTACTTTTCTCATGTATATTTACATTGAGCATTCTGTTGCTGCCTTTCATGACCATGTGTGGTAGGTCACTTCACTCCCAAGCCAGGATTTTCTTCTTTCTTATTTGGTAGTTATGAGGGTTTGAATTTAGGTTCTCATGCTTGCTAGGCTGGCAAGATACTTCTGAGCCAAAATTACAGCCCTGGTGTCCACTGCTTCTTCTTTAGGATAGCACTCCCCTTCCTGTCCTGGTGTAGAAAGGGCTATTTAATTGGAGATAAGAGTCTCATGAACTTTCCTGTCCAGGCTGGCTTCAAACTGCTATCCTCAGATCTCAACCTCCTAAATAGTTAGAATTATAGGCATGAGCTAATTTTTAGGCTCAGCTAATTTTTTTTTGGTCATTTTTTTTGGTCTTGAACTTGGGGCCAGGCAATGTCCCTAAGCTATTTTGCTCAAGGCTAGCACTCTATCACATTGAACCACAGTACTACTTACAGTTTTCTGGTGGCTACTTGGTGATAAGAGTCTCATGGACTTTCCTGCCTGGGCTAGCTTCAAACCATGATCTTCAGATCTCAGCCTCCTGAGTAGCTAGGATTACAGACACAAGCTACTGGTGCTTGGCTAAATACTCTTATTGTATATTTTTTATTCTTATTTCTTGAGGTGCATGTTTGATAGTCTCATCACTGACAAATAATTGTAATATGGTTTCTTGTCTACCAATCTCATGATTGGGTTTAATGAATGCCCTTTTTCAGAAAATATCAAGGCAACGTATACAAAGATATTAAAAGAAAAAAAAGATGCCTCTATGACAATAATGACATCAGCAAGTACAAAAAAATCTATTGACAAGGCCAAGTAATTCCCATTACTTAAGAAGGCAGAGGTAGGAGGATTGTAGTTGGAAGCTGGCCTGGGAGGGGGTGAGACACCCTTCTCCCCCATTTAAAATCAAGTATGAGGCCCTTAGTTCAAATGCTATTACTGCTTGAGGGGTGGGGAGGTCATTATCAATAGTAATGCTGAAAATAAACCCTGAAGAGACAAAAGCATGTGACTAAATGGAGAACCGAACCATGTGCTCTCATGAGGGGGTTTGCGCTGATAAAGACGTGTATTCTCCTGAAGTTACCATAGTTCCCCCAAAATCTAAATAACTTTGTGACAGCTGAAAAACGTCTTTTAATAAGTGATAAAGACATGCAGATAGCCAAGATTTTGGGGAAGAAGTGTCTTAAAACATGGATATCTTCTGAGATGGAAAAATGTGTTACACAGACTTACGTTGTGTTACTGGTAATGAGATCGATCTGAAAGGCGACAGCTATAAGCCAGACTTATAGTCAGGTTTCAATGATCTGGTTTAGATGAATAGGTTTAAAATAACCATAGTTCATTATTTAAGTCAGGAGTGAACACGCATATGTGAAGACGTCAGCCTTTGTGCAGAAGTCAGGTCATCCTTGGGTACCTCCTGCTGCCGCCCAGCGCCAGTCTGTGTCATGGCCACAGTGCTCTGCTGGAAGGACGGAGGTGCTTACCCTTTAGAGCCCTCACACACAGGCCAGGGGAAAAGCCGGAGAGCTGGGGACCACTCTGGCAACGCTGGGAGAGAAGGCCAGGCTCTTGTTAGCTATGCTTCCATGAAACCACCATGCTCTGGCAGAGTTGCTGTTCGAGATCTAGCAAGTCCAGTTTTTTGAACCTGATGAAAACCAAGTTTGGAGAGAAGGGATGGTCCCTCTGGTGTCATCCCAGGCTCTAGGTGGAGAGGTGGGGAGGGGGATCCCTTAGCTTCCTCTTTAGACCAGCAGGGCTACTTCCCATGGGACATCTCTTTGCTTGCGGAAGAACCAAATTAAAACAAAACAAAACAGGAAGAACTTGACAAATACACTGACCTCAACCCCTTCCAAGAACCCACCCAGCGCTCAGAAGGCATCTCTCTTAGTGTGCTGGGTAGTGCAATGAGAACATTTTGTTAAACAGACAAACAAACAAACAGCAACGATCAAGGCTGGGTTTGGTGGCTCACTCCTGTAAATCCGAGCTTCCCAAGAAGTTGAGATCAGACGATCACAATTGAAAACTATATGACCTAGGATTTCTACTCCCATGTATAAACACAAAAGAAATGAAATGTTCATGAAAAGATATATACATGAATGTTCCTAATTCATAAGACCATAAAAGTGAGTAGAATCTAAATGTCTATCTGTTAATGAATGGATAAACAAATGGCATATTCACCCATACAAAGGGATATTATTCAGCTGTAATGAAAAGGGAAGTTTCCATTCATGCTACATCATTGATGGACCTCGGAATCATTACACTAACTGAAAGAAGGCAGTCACAAGGGGCCACAAGGGTTTATTTATATAAAATGTCAGGTGGGGAAACCATAGAGATAGGACATTGATTGGCTTTGAAGATGGGAGGCCGGTGAGGAGTTCTTGTTTGTGCTATGGGATTTCTTTTTTTTTTTTCTTTTTTTCTCAGTTGTGGGGCTTGAACCCTGGTCCTGGGCTCTGTCCCTGAGCTCTTCACCACTTAAGCCACAGTGCCACTTCTAGTTTTCTGGTGGTTAATTGGAGGTTAA